TATAAATTATATCAATTTAGATTATAATAAATTCAAAAAATATATATTATTATATATGAATTATATCGATTTAAACTATAATAAAAATATAAAAAGTACAAATAAAAATATAATCGTAATAAAGATATATTTTATATAACTCATTATTAATATTTAATATATAAATCATGTTTCAAAAAATATATATAATTCATGAATTTTATTTATTTTTAAGTAATTAAAATAAATTATCAAAAGTAATAAATTATTTTTTAAAGATATTTGCATTAAATTATTAAAATAAAATAGAAATATATAATTAATTGGAGCTCATACAGTAACAAAGATAAAAATCTAAATTTACTTATAAATATAAATATATAATTAAGTGAAACCCGTGCATTTTTAGAGCATTTTTTAAGGTACTCAAAGGCGTTGGAGTCTTTTTTTTTTAGTTTGAACCATTGAAAAAACGACAGTGGGCGACACGGGGATGCACGTGCCTAGTCGATGCAGTTCACGTAGGATGTGCAAAAGTGGTGCAGCTTTACGTATTGGGAAGCTTGTTGGCAGATTAAAATAGCCAACGGAACAAGACGGGTTAGTTTGACAATAATGCAACCAGTTCAAGTTTATTATTGCCAAAATTCCAAATGTATTGTTTGTTTCATAGTATATTCCAAATGTATGGTCCATTTTTTTTAAAACAATAATATTAATTTTGAATGAATTCATATACAAAGGCTTAAGCTTGTGGGTGTGAACAAGATGCAAATGAGGCCGTGGAAATTGACTCTTATCGTTTCTAATTTGGGTGGTTTTGGATAGGGGTGTTCATTCGGTTAAAACGGTGGTCGACCGAATCGAATTAACCATAATTGAATTAATCAAACTTTTTTTTAACCGTTAACCGAACCGAATTTTTTTTCGAACATATTAATCGAACCGAATAAATTTAGGTTAATTCGGTTAATTTCGAATTAACCGAATTTTTTTAAAAATTTTCTAATTTATATAAAATTAAATATTTTTTAATTCAAAAAAAGTTTATAATTAATTTAAATAATAAATAATTATAAAATAAAAACTTTAGATAACTTTTTTAATTAATTAATATTGATTTAAGTTTAAAAGTTATTGGATCTTAAATTATTAAATGGGTTTTAAATGGTTTGGGCTTAGCCCATATGTTATATATAATATATTTAATATTTTTTAATTAAAAAATAGTTTACAATTAATTTAAATAATATATAATTATAAAATAAAAAATTTATATAATTTTTTAATTAAAAAACAGTTTACAGTTATTGGATATTAAATTATTAATTAGGTTTTTAATGATTTGAGTTGAGCCCATATGTTATATATAATATATTTAAAATTTAATTTCAGTTAATTAATCGAATTCGAACCGAATTAACCGTTAACCGAATTCTAAAATTTTTTTTTTAACTATTAATCGATCGAACTAATTCGGTAATCGAATCGAATTAACCGAACTAATTCAGTTCGATCAATTAACCGAATTAATTCGGTTATTTGAACAACCCTAGTTTTGGAACCCGTGGATCAAGAACCAGCTCATTCGACTGCTATGTCCAGCTCACAGTATGAATATAAAATAGCATTCTTGAGATTTGGTGCCAGTGAATCAGCGTTCAATGTTTTCACGTATGATGTTGATGGAGTCGTGAAGCCCAAAATTTGAACTTTGGACAGTTCGTGACGGAAGGGAATTTTCTCTTCCGTGGCATCTGATATTTCACAGCGAATCTACGGAAAAGGGTGTTTTGTTGTAGCAGTGGGATTCCTGAAAATGGTTTGCCAGCTGTTGTACGACATAACATAACCTATTGAGTAATCCATTTTGGTCGTATCTTCTATACTGTTGGCTTTGTAGGATTTGAAAAGGTTGAAGAGGTCCGAGTCACCGGACAATTTCATTTAAATAGAAAGATAATAATTATTAAAATAACATCTATTGATATTAATTTTTCATTTAGTATTTATTCATGTCAGTTGTCACGTAATCAAAGACACATAATGTAAGATGCATCTTTCATTAATCTTGCTCAAGTTAAATTAAAATGTAAAAAAGAGAACGGTCAAAAATATTAAAATGTATATGAATTTTGTCAAAAAATAAATAAATAAACGTGTGCGATGTAGGGCTGTTCATTAGGTTAATTCGGTGGCCGAATCGACCGAACTACCATTAACCGAATTAACCGAACTTTTTTTTCTTTAACCGTTAATCGAACCGAATTTTTTTCGAAAATATTAACCGAACCGAATAATAAAAATTAAATATTTTATAATTCAAAAAACAGTTTATAATTAATTGAAATAATATATAATTATAAAATAAAAAATATAAATTTTTTAATTAATTAATATTGATTTAGGTGTAAAAGTTATTGAATCTTAAATTATTAATTGGGTTTTAAATGGTTGAGGCTGAGCCCATATATTATATATAATATATTTAAAATTTAAAATTTATTTCGGTTAATTCGATTAATTAACCGTTTCGAACCGAATTAACCGTTACGAATCCAAAAGACCTTAACCGTTTCTCGATTGAACTAATTCGGTGGCCGACCGAATTAACCGAATTAGTTCGGTTCGGTTCGATTGATTAATTCGGTTAAAACTGATTTTTGAACACCTTTACGATGCATATCGAGAACATGTAATTATACGAGTACTTGTATTAACGTTTAATCATTCAATAAATAAATGTTCAAGATGTTATATTTAAACACTTGAAAACTCACGTACCTAAATCATATGGACTAATACACGTGCATCATTGTCACCACATAATTCGACTCGTGCTTATCTTTGTACAACTACTTGTCTTTAATATGTACCGCACGTATTTATTTATTTTAACCTTTATTTTCGTTTTCTTTTATTTCAACTTAATTTAAAGAGTTTTGATCTTTCTATGTCATCTAGGCAGAGGTTTTTTTTTTTTTTTTTTGTTTTAGAAAGAACCTTCTGAAACTTGTTTTTCATAGAAAGTGTCTTATGCTTACGTGACACAAAAGGGTGCTAGAATGAGAAATAATAGTTTAGGGGTATATTTGAGTAAAAAAGGCGTCACATATGACAAACTGGACTGCTTCAATAATTTATGTATTTTCGTTACTGAATTTAGGTGTGGGGCGTCATTAGGATTCACATACTCGGTGCAAAGAAGCCCATATGTGAACAATATTGACACAGTCGATTGACCTTTATATTGACTCAGCTCCTTAGATTTTGCTTCGTTGAAACCTATATAACTTTCATCAAAATATAAGTTTATCCATTTGATGAGCAGGCCCGCATTATCGGATGAAATGATGGCAATACAGTGAAGCTTAATCATTTAATTTATTGATAATATATATAAATACATTATGCATACGTTGCTTTTCAAACTCAAAACTTTTAATGAGAATAACTTCTTTTTTTATGATTAAGGTCACTTGATGAGTTTTAATTAATTAAATAGTTAAAATTAAATAATTTTGATTAATTAATTATTAGATGTGATGATTTGTGGTTACTATTATAATTTTAACATATAGTTATTATCTGTCTATTAATTGACATTAAATTATATATATATGTTTTTTAAGAGAAAATAAAGTATAATGATTGTTTTACGTTTGTTAAAGTATTGTCTTTGCAACTTTCATAGTTCATATTATGATATATGCTTAATTTTGTAGTGTAATTAATGATGGTATATTTTATGTTGTGTTTGAACTTTAAATTAATGCATCAGTATGAAGTATGTGATATGTAGATATACTAATTATTATTTAGTACCAATATGTACTTTTTATATTATGGAGTTTGTGTTTAGAAATTTTTTTATTTAATTTCTTCTGAAAATTGTAATCTAATATTTATTGAAGAAATAATTTTATTATATTCAACGAAAATAGTGAGAAAAAAGAAATTGTAATAATAGGTTAGGAGTTAAATCATAATCGAACCGTTAATAAAATTAATCATTAATAATGAATTATTTCTTAACTATTAAATTGTTATTAAAAAATAATAACTATTATAGTAAATTATAAATTTATTTACTAAATTTTACTCTATCTCCTATTTCATTCATTGGACTTTTAATTTCTTTTAACGTAACCATTGAATTTTATACATTGAGTTTTTTCTATCGCTCAACTGTTAACTTTCTAACAGTATTATGATGTGGTAATCAACACCAAAACGACGTAGTTTTGGATCTTATAAAAAAATCAAATTTAAACCGAAACAACCTAACTTTAATCTACATAAAAAATATTTTTCTCTCTTTTTCTGTAGTTCTACTTAAGCCTGTAACCTTGTATCAATTGTAGTAACAATGAAATCGTCAGCCACGTAAGGTACATGAGCGGAGGTTGCCCATAAACCACTTCTAATGGTGTCTTGTGAATAGAAGAGTGATAAGAAGTACTATACCAGAATTATGCTACTTTTTTAACTAATGATGCCATTCCCTGTGTTTCTACTTTTGGATACTCTATGAAGTTGAAAATAACACGGTTAGAAAGCTAACGGTTGAGTGATAAAAAAATTAAATGTATAAATTTTAGTAATTAAATTATTTTTAATTAAAAAGACAATAAGTAAAATAAGAGGAAAAAATAAAATTATTGAGTAAATTTATAATTTACCCTTACTATTTTAACGATTAATCAAACCTTTTGAAATTAACGCATACTATTTGTCTCACCATTTTTATGCAGAGAAACGTATAATTTGATCACCCTAAAGTTACAGTCTTAAAGAAATTGGGGTCTTAAAACATTACAATATTATTTTATTGAATAATTACTTATTTTTTGTAATTATTTAATAATTAGTTAGTTGATATTATTATCATAGTAAAAAGTAAAAGATAATGCGCAATATTTAGATATTATTAATTATTTTCTACTAAAAGTAATTAAACCATGATCATGAGAGTTACAGAACAAGCTTAGAAACCTATAATAACTGAAACTTTTTGAACGTTAAAACAACCTATGCCGTGCCTTCTCGTTTATAGTATCCAAGCTTGGTTTCCATCCTTTGCCTGAATATTGCATATTCAAATACTCCGGCCTACTTTCGGAACTCTCCGGAAATAACTCCGTTAAACTCTGAGCCCCATCGGACCTCTCGTCGGTTCTTTCCTTCTTCTGCAACGGGAACTTATGTCCCGCTCTGTCGGCATGATCATTCGCCGTGCAAATCCGGGAAAACAGGGGAAGAAGCTTCGGGGACGACGATAAAATCGACTTCGACCTTGAGACTGAATTCGCACTCGATAGCACACGACGAGCTTCCTCCGACGACAACGTGATCGGCTTCCCTCGTCTCACTGGTAGCATCACGTAAAGCTTTTTTACGTCGAGTTTATGGTCGGCGGGCAACGGAATCGGCCTCCTCTGATCAATTTCGGCGTTGAACTCCACGACAACGTGTTGCGGATGCTCCAACATCAGCTCCGCCGCTTCCAAGGGACTCCATATCGAGAATGATTTTGTGGCGGAGCAACTAAAACATCATAAAAATTTAGGGTCGTTGGATTTTCAGTTTCAAGCGGGCCCTGCCCTTTTCATCATCTAACTTCCCTTAAATTAATCCCAGGGTGATGAATGGCAGACATGTACGCCTGCTGTATCAGGCCTAAACAAAATTGACGCCAAAGATATGGTTCAACCATAAACTGTATTAATTAATTCCGTACTTTAATAGCTTGTGGTATCTAAATCATGTCCAATACGTAATGTGACAAGAAAATTTAACAGTATCGGTTTCAATGATGGACTTGTTAAAACTTAATTATGGATTTTGTTGATTAAATTTAAGATTGAGGACTTGTTTATTCAAAAAAAAAAAGATTGAGGTCTTGAACTCAAAGATGATAATAGGTTTGGTCTCTTGATTTCTTTGTCGGACATGAAATATTTAAATTTTTTTATATAGTGGGTGAAAATGTTTTATATAAAAAATAATTGCTCTGATCATTTTAAATTTGAGTTATAATCGTTTCAAAATCCTTATTGAGTTGTTATTTTGAACTCATGTTGGAATTGGAATGTCTAATTTCAGATGATTTACATATGAAGAATTATTTATAAAAGAAACTAACATAATCAATTTCAAAGTTGGAAATAATACTCAATTGAATTCTATTCGAGTTGGACCTTCATGCTGACTTCACCCCTAACCCTATGACTTGATGACATAGCAGAAACATTGCTTTCTAGTGAAAACCATCAGATTATGGTAGGATATGGAAGTTCATTGAGAAAACTACGGTACCAGAGACTTGCTGCCACAACTATTTTACAGGGGCAGCGACAGTTTTACCTCCCTTCTATACATCCCAATTTAAAACACACTTGGGGGCTAGTTAAAACAGTTTGATGAATACATTCTTTTCCCGGGAATCGGAGTGACGAGATGAAGCTGTGGTTCGAAAGCGTAAAGCATCTTTCTGGCCATTAATCTACTTGATATACTGAGACATCCACTTGAAGCCATCACCATATCCCATTTTGCGGACAATGCTGCACATAAATACCTCTAGTGGACGGACATTTGAGTCTGATAGGTTTACCTTCCCCTTCCCGGTGGTAAAGTTGGATAGACCAAGATGGTATCGCAACTCATCCTCAGAGGCAGCATATGGTATATCAATCTTGTTCCAAGGATAAGAATGGGACATTGGCAAGGTACTCGTCTGAAAGAAGTGCATCGAGTTCCTTCTTTGATTCTGCAAACCTCTCTTTATCATAGGCATCTACCAGGTAAACCACAGCATCCACCTGGAACCAAGAAAATATACAATTCAAAGCATTCACTGGAGACCATGCAGCCATCGCTTCTAAATCAAAACAATAAGAACAAAGACGTATAGCAGCAAAAAATGTCATCTAAACTTTAATCTCATCATAAATTGTATGTTGCTCAAAAGCAATGATGGTGTAAAAAAATGTTCATACACCTCAATTCAACCTTCACATCCGGCTGGCAAATCTAGATCACCTGGTTGAGCACAAGCATAACATTGCTGTTTTTGGCACAACAAGAATTGCGATAGAAGCACCCATGCCCCACAAGGAATCTCCTTTTCCTTTTCTTTGTTATGCCTTTTGTATTATACGCTTGAGAAATATGTTTTCTTTGCTGCAGAAAGCTACAGCTGACAGATAATACTCGACCAATGGCTACCTTTCCAAAATGATCTATAGTGATATGCTAATGATCTAATAGTAAGAGTTTGAGACTTTGATAACTGTTCGAGACCCCTGTTCCCTAGACAACTAGAGAAATAATCAATCAGCTAAAAGTTTAAGCATTCCATAAGGTGATCAAAACACCAACCTCACTGAAAATTCATGACCATGAATGATTTGAAAAATCAGCATATGACATTAGAAACACTCTTATTTTGTTTCTATTGCATCACACGGCAGGAAAAATTCCATTGAGACTCTGAACAAAAATAGCTCAGGCACAAAAACATCAGTGCGACATATGAGCACAGAGAAATTTCTGTCATCAAAACTAATAAACTCCTGGCAATTGAGATCGTAATAACCACAGAAAAAGAATTAAAAATAAACAGATTCAAGTGAATGCAGAATCACTAAAAGTGCTATACATGCAAACAAAGAAAACACACAGTTGACAAGAAAATTTTACTTAAAAAATAAGCATTAAATTCAGTTTTTGGTTACCTTAGCATAGTAATCTTTCCAGACTCTGCGAGCAATCTGATGACCACCCAAGTCAAAAGCTTTGAACTTAATCTTCCCAATACTAAGCTCCTCGGATGTGGGATACTGAGTGGGCTGGTGTTGAACCAATCTCTGGAAACGGTTCAATAATATTTAACATAGTTAATTACCTTTTTCTTTCAAAATTTCCTGATCAATCGAAATTGATTCGAGATCCAAAACTATACCTTCAAAAACAGATTTCGATACTCGAAGCGAAATGGGAAAATTATTGAAAAAAAGAGGAAAAATGGGAATAAACGAACCTCATCTTTCAACATGTGAAGCAATGTGGTTTTACCAGCATTATCGAGGCCGAGGAACAAGATCTTGGCCTCTTTCTGCCATAGACCGAGGGACGCAAGAACGCCGTAGAACCAATCCACAAGAAACATCGTTTCGCTCTCCGGTTCAGACTTCGGATACCCGGAAAATACAAACGGATGAAGCTCGATAGTTGGCGACGATCTGAGATCGGAGGAACGGTGATCAAATTTGACCCGCAAAATCAAGAAAACGAGTTGGTGGCACTGGAATTTAGTAACATGTATCTCTGTGGGCTCTCTTTCTTTTGTGATATTCGACGTCGTTTCACACGAAAACCATATAATTAACCAGCCGATTTTCAAGTAATAGAATGGTACAGTGGTTTGGTTTATAGAATATAAATTATTTTTAAGGATGTGATTACGAAATGTTATGTTATTTAACATATTTAAGAGTACATTATTGATTTATTTGATAGAATTATGTGTTGAAATAATAAATAAGAAAAATGTATTTTTCATATATAAAATTTCATTTTAAAAAATTAAATTCTCAATACTAAAGTCAAAATATTTACATGAAATACATAGAAAATATAATATTTTATTATCAAATTTATATTTTTAATAAATTTTATACATAAATAATTTGACATATATTTTTATTTTTAATTAATTATTTATTTGGAAATACAGAAATACATTTACACCAATATAATTATTTGTTTATTTTTAGGTACTAAGATATTAGAAGATGTATATACTTACATCGGTGTAAGTATGTGTTAATTGCTACACTTTTTTACTTATGCTACATGTATGAGTTGTACAAATAAATATCATATCAAATTATATGACATAATTAATAAAAAGATATTAAAAAATATAATATAAAAACTTTATATGAAAATTAATCCTAAATAATCAACTTAATAAAACATATATAAAAAATTGAATTGAAAAATATGCATAAATAATCAAATAAAATAAAATAAAATAGATTTATACTTGTGTAATTATATACAAAAAGAATGATCATTTTGAAATAATTATATTATTTTAAGGATATTATTATTCAAATGAGAGGGAATTGTCTAATACCTAAAAAAGAGAGAGGAAGGAATGAGATTCCCAGAAATGTAAGATAAAAAAACATTGTATGTATTGCTTGATTACCTCTTGATAGGAATGCTTTTAAACCAAACGTGACTACGTGATTTGTAAATGATTATTTCCCTTGATATTAATATTTTCCTTGGTCAAAACACCTCTTTATAGTGGACTGAATTTCTCAAATAATGCAGTTGTAAAAAAATTTGTTCGAATAGGACACTCTGGAAATTATTTCGTGAAATAGAGTGAATGCTAAAGTAAACCCGAAGACGCATTGGAGTCCAAACGACTTATACATAAATTTGGGAGAGACACATAGAGTGCAATGCGTCTCCCATATTTTTTCGCCAATTTCATTCTTATGAAAATGTACAAAGGGTAAATTACACAATTAATCATTAACTTTATTCTCTCTCCAAATTAATTAAATACAATTGCACTGTTTTGGACAACAATTTCAATTAGAAATTATGTAAGCACGATATTGGTTTCTTTAGTACACAAATTCAATGTTAGACCTGATGGATCAAATTGCTTCCATATAACAACTTGAACAATGGTGATGATGATCAAATAGGAGTAAAACAAAAGTTGAGTGATTAAATTGAAAAAATTAAAAGTATAGTGAGTAAATTTGGAGAGAGAGTAAAGTTGAATGATTAATTATGTAATTTAGCCTAAAAAATATGGGAGACGCATTTCACTCCATGTCTCCCATATTTTCAAAGGGCAAATTACACAATTAATCATTAAACTTTACTCTCTCTTCAAATTCACTCATTGTATTTTAAATTTTTTCAATTTAATCACTCAACTTGTGTACTAAAGGGTAATTTTTTCACTTTTTCATAAATGTACAAAGGGTAATTTTTTTTGGAGTCCAAGCATTGAATTTGTGTACTAAAGAAACCAACATCGTGCTTACATAATTTCTAATTGAAATTGTTGTCCAAAATAGTATCATTATGATAATATCTCGTGTATTTTAAATAAAAATAGTTTTATAATTAAATTAATGTCAAATATATTCGTAATACCAATTGAAATTGAATATTTAGTAGATATAAAGTTTATATATATATTTACACGACTAACATAAAAATATGAATGATTAATCGTGTAATTTACCCTTTGTACATTTACATAGTGAAAAAATTCTCCCCCAGTAAGTCGCTTGGACTACAATGCATTTTCGGGTTTACTGTAGCATTCACTCTATTTCACGAAATAATTTTCAGAGTGCCCTATTCGAACAATTTTTTTTCCAACTGCATTATTTGAGAAATTCAGCCAGTGTGGTAATATTTGGGACGGGTTTACTACCCATGCACACTCAAATTATATATTATGTGTAAATTATTCATAAATCTTAAAATATTTTAATTAAATATTTAAATATTAATATTCTATCAACCAAAATTCTAATTAATCTATTCGTTGGAATTTATGAAGTCAAATATATATTTAAAATGTAGTGTACTTACTATACATAATTTAGACATGATGTTTTAGAAATTATAGTAATACAAAAATTTATTGATAATTTTCTATTACATAATAAATCCAAAAGTATTATATGATAGTTACGTATTTATAGTTAGTTTGACATTGTGATTGACAACGCATATATTCTATATAGACATAATTGTTTAAACTCAAATATTCTAAAATAATATTTTTTTTAACATTGAATAAATTATATTCTATATTAAATTTAAATAAATAATAATCTAAATTGATATTGATGGATAAATCAATGAATAACACTATGTTGATATTTTAAAAAATTAATAAAGATAGGGCGAATGCTACAGTCCCCATGTAGGTCGCCAAGTGCTCCGGACGACGTAGGTGAGATGGTGTAGGTCGCCATGCGTCCACGAGCTGTGTTGAGGTCAAGGTCGCCATGCACGCCCAGCATGACATAGGTCGCCACGTGAGCCGAAGTAGGTCACCTTGCAATTCCAGGTCGCCATGCAGCTCGTGCTAGCTCTAATAATTATTATAAATAATAGCCATAAAATTGCATGCATGGTACATGCGCACATATATATATCAACAAATGCAAATAATGCAATTGCATTGGATCACGTCTCTAAATTAATAGTAATTTGAAGCAAATGAACAACTCACACGACAAAAGCACTAAATTAACATTAATTAAGGATCGATTAGCAGATATCCACCATGGTCAAAGCATGGAGAAGAACGTATGCAACTCCTTTTGGAAAACCCATGCGACCTGGAATTGCAAGGCGATCAACTTCGGCTCACATGGCGACCTATGGCCATGCTGGGCGTGCATGGCGACCTTGAACTCAACACAACTCGTGGACGGCATGCG